TGGGTCTCTGCCACGGGCGAGAGGCTTCAGCTTCCCCGCGGAAAGGGATCTAATGCGCAGCATCGCCCGTTAAGGTCACCATGGCTGACAGAGCTGCTGCTGAAAGGGCTTGTAAAGACCCCAACCCCATCATCGATGGCAGGAAAGCCAACGTGAACCTGGCGTACCTGGGTGCCAAGCCGCGGATAATGCAGCCAGGTGAGGAAGCGGCCCTGAACGGCTTTTCTCTCTGTACTTCAGGTTTCCGAAGAGAGTAAAACTTTTAAAAAAAGGTAGTGCTGCCCTGCACTTTCCTGAAGTACGCTCACTGTTTGGGTGTGCTTTGGTTTTGATTTGTAAATGCAGCGTGTAGTAACTTTCTGGCTATTTTGTACTACATGTGCCTTATTTAAAAACCAAAATCAATCAGGAATAAAATATCTGCAGTTCCCCAGGAAGACTTCCGCAGCTCAGACACTTCATTGGTTATTCCTACTGCTGAGAATGTGGTGGCGCTGACCATTTACAGTATCATTGCAGGGATTGGCCTAGGAATTAATCACTTCCAATGTGTGTCTTATTAATGCAAACAATATCTTAATGCAAACTCCTCAAACAGATGGGAGCTATTATGCAGACCTTAAAATGAAATGGCTCTTCCTAAGACCACATCTGAGCCAATCTGATGTCCTCGGCACTTCCCAAGCTGCTGCTTTGCAGCAAGAGAGGCAGGAGCGCAGAGTGTGCATACGTTTGTGCTCTAAAGGAGGCTGCTCTGAATCCCCATGTGCTCAGCCTGAGGAACACCTGTGTCAGTAATTAAATGTCTATCAAGGAAAGGAGGAGTTTATGCTTGAGCACTTGAAGAACAGAAATGAAGTCAGGATTTGACCGCCACGCTAAGTCCTCATGAGTAGAGATGGCTCGAATTTAAGGCTGTAGAAAGTACCATATAATCCTTCAGAGGCTAAAGTTAGGGACCAGAATGGAGCACAAAATAAAATGCGAATTAAAACTTCGTGCTTGTTGTTTAGAAAAAGCCGTTCTGCTAAACATCTCTAGGAAAGCGTGCACTTAAGTTCTGTATGGATGTATGGGGGGGGTGTGTATATACGGACTGATACATTTTACTTCCTAATTTGTGCTTCTGCAGCCTTTCAAACATCATCATTGGAGGTTGTTAGTGAAGGCTGTTACTCTGCGTTTGTGTGCATGTGTATATATAGCATAAATAAGTAGCCAAAATAACACCCCTACAGAGAATGTGATGTGTTTTCATTGGTAGGTTTTGCCTTTGGTGTCCAGCAGCTTCATCCAGCTCTCATACAAAGGCCTTTTGGGTAAGTCTGGTCAATGGGACCTCAAACAGGGGAGGAAAAATCTTTTTTCTTTTTTTTTTTTAAAGAAGGAAAGAAAAAGTATGATCCTTGAAGGCCTCTTGCAGTAGCAGCCTTATAATCTCACCAGCAGTGCTAAAGTTCTCAGACTTATAAATGTATACCCATAAATGCACTCACCTTGTCGGTCATGTTCTAAATGCCGCAGCTGAGTCAAGTTGTGTGGGACGTGTCCCTTCCACCTAAGCAGTCCAGTCCCGTATGACCCTATGATAAAACAAGGAGGTATGACTTAATGCAAGATTGCTGTGCCCCATTTCTCTTTTTTCAGCTTGACTCAATGTTATTTATCTCTTTCTAATCTGACAGGGATCGTTTACAGTTAAGATAACTGATCAGAAGGATATGATGATAAGAGGTGGAATAGTTCTGTTTGGAATTAAACTCTGTAACCAGTAGACTCAAACACAAACAAGCTAAAATGGTGATTAACGATGCATGTATGTTTTTTTTCATATAGTCAATAGACCTCCGTGTGCTTTTTTATTTATTTATTACAGTAATGAAGTGGTGTTGATAGCTAAACTGTGTGCTTTTATTTAATTGAAAGAGCTGTAGTGAAAGTTTTTTGGGGGGGTCTTTTTAATTTTGTTTTTGTTGTTGAGGAGTGACTTTGCCATGGGGAGCAAAGGGCCTTTTTTTTTTTTCCTTGCTTTCAAGCTGTAGCCTGTGACTTTTTTAACCATATTTTGTAGTGAGTGCTAAATTGTGTGACTTTTTGATTTTTAAGTAAATCAACGTATTGCTTGCATGTTCATAATTTTTTGGGGGGGGTTTGTTCTTGGGAGGGGTGTGGAGCTCCTTATTAACAATGTACGTCCATTTAGGCTTTCTAATTTGAGATTTTTTTTCTTCAATCTGTCTTTAATATGTAGCGCATTTCTCCTTTACTTGAGTATACTATTCCTAAGTAGATCTAACTCTTGCTTCTTATAGGCATATAATTAGGAGGTGAAGTCTGCTTTAAACTTTCCATACAGTGTCACTTCACTAATGCACACCGACTGAGAAACTCATTGCAAAGTAATGCATTTTGCTAATTAATGAGTAAGCTAACAATAAAGTAGGGAAAATGCGTCACAAATTTATTTTATTTATTTGACTAGAATAGCTTTAGAATATTGTACCTAGCTGTTATTAAGCAATGGTAGGTTCTTGGTAGTTTGATTTGTAAAACCGGTAGGAAACAGTTCTTGTCCTCAAAACTGTAGGAAAAAGTTTCCCTAGAAACTTCAGATACTTTGTAAAAGAGAATGTTGATTCTTCTGAGACACATGGGGAGGTTGTGGAAAACTTTTTGTCTTTTTTTTTTTTTTCCATATGATTATCCTCTATTGTATTTTGTTTGACTTCTTTCAAGTGTGAGGAGATGGCAGTGTATATACCATGATCAGTTTATGATGCCTGCGCTACAGTAGGCAGGAGGGGAAGTGCGTTGTGTCCAAAGTTGTTAAAGCACTTCTTGCAAAGAGAACTGCTTGGGGATCAGCCATGGAGACACTGAGTATTTGCTGAGCACAAGAGAAAAGGAGAACCTGTGGCAATCCCTTGCTTAAAGGACTGTGCAAGTGTAGGACTCTCTTGCTTTCCTTACCCAGAGCGAACAATAGATCATGTAAATCATGTTTAGGTCAGGGAAGTTCTTCCAACAGGCTGAATAAGGTTTTATTTCTAATGCAATGTAAAGAAATCTAAAGAAAAGGAATGTTCGTTGCAGGGTCACGTATATATGAAATTGGTCATTTTTAATCCTTGGCTTTTGCCTTTTTTTTTACCTTGTGCAAAAAAGGAGATTACTCATCCCACTTCCTCCTCAAAATTTCCAATGACTTGCACCTTTTCTAAAGAATGTAGTTCAGATTAAGAACAACAGCATTCATTAGGATGAATGACCATCTTCATTCACTATATTCCTTGACAATAAGAGGAGTTGTTTCAGTGCTTACTTGGATCTACTTTTACTGAAGAGTTCTCTCTTAGAGGATCTTACATGGATTGCACTGAAATACATGGTCACCTTAAAGCCTTTCTTCCTCCTGTGCAGTTGCACTTTTTAAAAGTACACTTTACTAATACGCTGTGTAAAACAGGTCGTAGTGGTGATTCACTACGAATACTCTACTAATCCATACAAAAAAGCTCCAAATATTTTGTTGTGTTTTTTTTTTTCCCTACCAGAGTGCAAATTAGCGAGGTGCTGCCATATTCTGATATGGTCAGCAGTGTTTTGATATGGTTCCCCACCTATCAAATAAGAAACTGAAAATAATTGGATTATGTTACATTACTTTTACTGAGAAGATGCAGAAGTACAATATTTTGAATTAAGTACAACATTATTGTGGTGGAGGGAGCCAGCAACTAGATTAGCTTCAATGCATGAAGCATTTAAAATGCTGGGAATTTTTCTTTATTCAGTGCTGCAGAGATCAATTCATCCACCAAATAACATTTCTCCTTGCTCTTTACAATCAGCATCTATCTTAGAGTTGGTGTGTTTCGTAGAAAGCTGTTTGATCACAGGACTGGTTATCTATACAGCTCTGTTTTCAGGATTGTTTATTAGAATATTATCTCTGAATTCAATAGGAATTTATGGAGGGGCAAGAGGACTTTGTCTCCTAAGATAGCTTTTCTCATTTTGCTTATGTAATTTTTACTTTAATGTTGGTGAGAAAATATGGGGTTATACAGAGGTACTGGTGTAGGATACGACTTGTTCTGTTGGAGATATTTTTTTCCCCTGTATTTTCTGTCTAAAACTTGTATCTCAATCAAAATGAGAACATTCCCACTGTTTTTAGTAAGAGCAGAGTCAAATCGAAAGTTACTAAGTTCATTATCAAATGGTTAGCTGATACTACCTGCTTGGTATTATCTTCCAAGAGTTAAGCAATTCTGCCTTTCTTAAGAGAGAAGGAAAAGCCCTCTCGAGTTTTTGATCAAAAGACCTGTATAAGACTAGACTACAGATAATCTGGAAAGAGGGAATGAAGCCAGAACAGTCAGAAGTTAAACTGCAGAATGCTAAATGTCCTCTTAATGGGATCAGACACAAATTTAAAAGGAAGCATATTAAGGGTCTTGTATGTCTTGATGTTTACGTAAGCTATTTCTGCCATAAGGAAAACTGCATTGGTGAAAATCTACTCTTCACTTATGCTTATGAAACCAGATGATGCCATGCAAGGGCCAAAGCAAAACATTTAGTTGAAAACTAAATATCTACTTTCACAAGAATTTCATGTCGAGACTCAATGATGTGCTACTACTGCTGGTTTTCTATGTGCCACAGCTCTCTGCAGTAGTCTAGAAAGTCCCTTCTTTCCTTTGAAACAATTAGCTGTCACTTTATTATTGCTTATAGGATTATTTTTGAGGTCTTAGTTAAACACAAATCTTCTGTTCTAACAACAATGAAGGTCTTAAGGCACATGGCAGGAGTGTATGTCATTCAATGTTTAATATCCCAAAGCTGCAGTTACTGCTAAAATTTAATGTGGCTTCCCTCTTCCTTTATTGCAAAAGCATAAAACAATAAATCTACGTTCCAAAAATAAAAACTACTGCCAGGAAAGAAAGCTTAAACCGTATCTAATTCTCACAGTCTTACTCTCAAACGTAGTGCAGCAGCTTTTATTTAAAATTAAAGATACTATGGATATCCAGCATAACTGGGAATTGCTTGTTCAGCTTTTGACCTGGCAGAGCATTAACAGCAGTTGGCTTCTGAACGGCTGAGATCTACATGTGCTGGCCTCTGCAGTAGGTAGAAATTTACTTTGGCCATATAAAGCCATTTTACTCGACTCAAAACAGTTGTAGCATGACAGATGATCAAAAATAGCCCCACTGCAGCTTATGCTGTCAATCATCACGTGTGAAATGGCATGGTGGTGAGGAGCCTGCACAGGGTTTATGTTTATTGTACGGTAAGATGTGGCAAACAGATAATGTTTCATAACTTCACCACCTGTTAGTTTCTTGGCTTAAATAAAACAAGTCACAAGAGTTTTAAGTGGGAGCACATGTATCTTTCTGTCTTGTTCAAGGATATGGCCAAGTGTCCTAATGTCTTCAGAAAATCTTTGTAACATCAGTGCAAGTCAACACAAGCAGCTAGATAAGGTTGCTGACTGTCTCTTCTGTTAGAATCAGTCTCTTTCATAAATGCTGTATGTAAAGATTCCTTTCACGTGGTGCTAAATGGACTCTTAGTGATGCAGTAGAGGCTCTCGGTGACTTCAGATTTGGTTTTATACCTCTTTCCTTAAGACTTAAACAACATGGTGTTATATTTATTAGGATTGTACTCGATGGGTGACCAACATAAAATGCTTGTTTATGCTCGTCCATTTCGTATGGAGAGCTCAGGTAATGATGTGTATTTAAATGCACAGAGCCAGCTTAAGTATGCTTCAAATGCACTTCTGGCTAATCACTTCATAAATTAGGTGAGTGTTAAAAACCCAACTTACGGTTTTGTTTTGTTTCCTTTCCTTTCCCAATCCCTATTTGTCACTTTTTTTTTTTCATTTCTCCCTTCACACACTAGGAAATGAATTCGATTGACATGTTGGGTTTTTATGATTGTGGTGTTCCTGTCTTTTACATGGCAACTGAACATTTCTCTCTGCTAACATTCCTATTCAATCAACTGAGCTCTTTTTTTCTTAAAAAGGAAACTAGGCTGTTCTAAAGCCTGACTATCACTTATTTTAAACTATGTTTTACTATGACTCTAGTTGACAATGTCCCTTCTGATTGAAATGTTTCCTTGTTGACCACTTAAGTAAATCTTGAAGTTATTTTAAAAATGAAACAAACAAAAATACCCTTTCCATTAAATCTTGTATTTTGAGAAAAGAGGACAGTTTTTACCATTGCAATTTGCATCTGTGCTTACAGTGCACTAAAAGGTTGGTGCAGTCATTAGCATTGTCTGTAATGGTAAAGTTCAGTATGAAATAATAGTAAATCTGCACAAGCAGTTTTTCATGGATTTATAAAGATTCACTGGCTGGAAAGGAGTTGCATATACGAAGGACTTCTCTGTGAAAATCCAGATGCAAGACAGGGTTATGAATGTAAAATGAGAATTATATTGAGTATATTATTCTTTTAAATCATATTATATGATAAAATACAACTATGAGATGAACGTGTATGTACACTTGTGTGCTAAGACAATACAATCAATTTTCAAAACTGAAGGGCTGAGTGAGCAAGCCAAGGAAGCAAGTTTTGTGACTTGGAGACGATGGGAAAGTGTGTGTACTGATCTGTTCAGAATGGTTATTTCTTAAGCTATCAATTTGTTTTTTTGCTTTTGTTAAGCACCAGATCTATTTAGACTTAATCCTATGCCCACCTCCCAAAAAACTCTATGCTGTATGTCTTGCATAGAAATAAACAAGCTGGCACAAAACAGGACATCAGTGGCCTGATAATCAAACAGGTTTGACCCTTGTGTCCTTACAAACTTTTATAAAAGTGTGATGCACATGTACTTAGGAGTCACTGTTATGGATTTTAATAGCATCTATGTAGCTTCCCCTCAATGGCCTCTTGTGACGGAGTGAGCTGCACTATCGTTCGTTTGGAAAGTGTGATTCTTGCTGTGTTTACCACACTTGTGAACTTTATTTAAACTCCTTTGTCGCCTGTGTTGGTTTTTTTCTTATTTTTAATAAGGGTGACTGAGGTTGCAGAGGAATTAATGTGTGCTGAGTCTGCATAGCAACTTAAGTAGGGTTGCCACAATACGCTCTCCCCGCCATTCCCTGAGAAGACTACGTAAAGTCAGGGTTCAACCATTTTGTTGCCTTATTGGCTGTTGTCAAACTCATTATAGCAATGCTGTCAAACTGCTCAGTTACTAATAATAAAGTAATGCAGGAAATAATTTTACTAAGAGTCAAGTAGTTAAGTGAGAAGCAGGGTAATAAAAATTACTTCCAGGTGATTTCAAAAACAAATATCGCAATTTTCCAGATGGAATAATCAAGCTTACTCCTTTGGAGTTGTCTTAAAACTGACATCAGTAATCCTGGTCCTTCTAAAGATTTTGATAGTATTAAACATAATAACCTCAAGCAACATTAAACACTCCTGTTTAACTCAGCTGTAATGCTGTGCTTTGGAGCGATGCATCTCTTCAGGCCAGTGAACTGATAATTGGTCCATTGAGTCTAGTTATTGTGGCAACCCTATGCACATAACAACAACTAAATTGAGTTTGTTTTAGTTCGGAGTATGGATATGACGCTTAGGCGCTGACTTGCGTACCAACTCTAACTCCCTCTCCCATCTTTCAACAGGATACCTGCTCACTATGTCTATCCACAGGCTTTTGTGCAGCCTGGAGTGGTAATTCCCCACGTTCA